TGTGTGGTTTTTGACTGGGGCTGGGTTTGAACCCACCACCTCCGGCATATGGGGCTGGCGCCTTACTCCTTTGAGCCACAGGTGCTGCCCACTCATAGGATCTTTATTGTTGTTCCAAATTAAAAAGCATTAATATATTTTCATTGCAGGTAGATAAAGTGTATTCCCTTTGGTACTTTTTATTTGTATCAATGTGGCCCCAGTATTAACATGTTACCTGAGGGAGCCCTTCTCAACACTAGATCGTTAGAAATTGTTTACAAACAAAGTGGCAGAAGAAAAACTGAACAAAATCCTCTTAGTGATGCATTTTTTCCCCTAGTTATACTTTTAGGCATAAACTGATCTCTGATTAGCTCAACACTGACAATAAAACTGATTTATAAATGGAGCCATTCAGTAGTGGAGCTTGACAAACCTATGTTCTAAGCTATCCAGCTATTAAAAGTGATGTCCCAATAAGACTTTAATGTCATGGAACCTTTTGCGGTGAAAATAAAAGTTTTATGCATCTACTATAATTTATATAGTAGGAGAAGGCTACTAAGCCTCCTGGCTTTCTTGATTAAAATGGAGAGATATGACTCATAAGATTGCCTGTTTGGGGGGAAAAGTTTCATTTTGGGGCATGAGTTCCTACTTACCTGACCGTTAGATTGCAATCTGTGCCAATACCCTCTAGTTTTGATTTAGTGGATTGCTTTATCATTTTTATTTTCTTTTATAAAACTACTCAGGTTTTTATTTAGATTGAACCATGTGTAGTGGCCATTTTCAGGTGAAAAATGATCAAGTATTGGACATTTCTTGTGGTTCAACCAACCATTGAACTTAATATTCCTGAGCCTGATACAGGACCTTTCCTAAATTAACTTTGGTCTACTTTAGATAATTAAAGACTAGTCTGTATGCTTACAGTACAGTTCCAATGCAAGGGACCAATAAGAAATTCATATTCTTTTAACCACAAATTTGGGCCTATTCTGGTTGTCCCCTCTGCTGATTCTGGGGACACATAAGAATCATTTTTTCAGTCATTCTTCTATCTAGGAGCTAAGTTGTCATGCTCTGAATGTGTCCCCCCAAATTCGTGTGATGGAAACGTAATTCCCAATGTAATAGTGTAGGGAGCTGCAGCCTTTGGAGAGGTGTTTAGATCAGGAAAGCCCTGCCATTACAAATGAATTAATGCTGTTATAAAAGGGCCTGATGTAGAGAGTCCAGTCCTTTTCTGCCTTTCCACCTCTGCCACAGACACAGTATTCCTCCCATCCAGAGAACACAGTATTCAAGGCACCATCCAGGAAGCAGAGAGGCATCCTCATCAGATGGTGGTGCCTTGATCTTGGCATTCCCTGCCTTCAGGTCTGTGAGAAATGGTTGTTTGTTGTGTATTCCCAGTTAGTCTCAGTATTCTGTTACAGCAGTACAAAATGGACTAAGACATAAATTGGTGCCAGAGAGGTGTTACTATAGCAAATACCAAACAAAAGTGGG